CCAAGACTCCATCCTCCTGGGCACTGGATGAAAAGACTGGTTTACCTGGTGCTGAAGCCAAGGCTATTTTACTAACTGACCTTGGCGTCTGCTGACCCCCAGAGGAAGCCCTCTGGCAGCCAAATAGGAGGCTCATCTGTAAGAAAGTTAGTTTGAACTGCCACGGGAATGTTAATGGACTGAGGCAATATTCCTGATAACCAAGACCACAATGCTGGTCTGCAACGAATTAAAGATCAATGGTAGCAATTCAGATAGTGAGCCCCTTTGATAAGTAAGCATTTGATGTTATGCCAATGTAGCCTCTTGAATTCATGGAGCAAGTGTTCAAAGAAAATAATCTCTAATATAACCATTTGCATCGCCTATATTTTAAAAATAACAAGTATGGGAATCCAGCCAACTGTGCTATCTGGGAAATTCTTTGAGATAACCATACAGCAGCTTAGGGTAACACAGCTCTAGACAGCCACAGAAGCCCACCTGTGGTACTTTATGATATACATGTTATATAAGCTCCAGCGAGATCCTGAAACTCAGCTTTCTCATTCACTGTGTCTTTGGTGCAAGGAAGGGTAACTTAGGGGGGAAAAATCTCCCACTAGATGATAAAAAGGAAGAGAGAATCTGTTATTTGAAATAAATAGTAAATCTAAATTAAAGTCTTAACTCTAGTTCATGCTTGAGCTGCAATGACATTTGAGAATCACTGACTGCTTTGGGCATCCCGGTGAGGCTACCGCGAGGGCCTCGTAGTGTTCATGTTTGCATTCTGTTGACGGTCTTTTATCCTGTTCTCGGAGGATGGGAGTGATAAATCCAATACTGCTGCTTTTTATTTGTAGCATCCTTGTCATTCAAAGCAGTCTATAAAGACCTTCAAAGAGTCAATATACTTGTTGACTAGATGCCATAAATACTTTGGAAATAAGGCAGATTATTATTTAAACAAGTAACTCACTTGTGTACTAATGTAAAATGCGTGTGCTCCTGCTTTTTAAACAGAGTTTCACTGAAAAAAGAAAACCCTCCTATAAACGTAGTGCCGTTTATATTATTCAACCAAGCACTATGCTTTCTGAGCAATAAATTCTAATAATAAAATATTAGTGTCTCCAGTACCCACCCCAGCCGATAAGGTTGATTGTCTATCTGTGACACCCCTTCCCACCGTACCCTCGTGGGAATACAAAGACACTGGTTAAGCAGAGAGAATATGGGAGAGAAGAAAGAACCCAGACCAAGGAAGGCAGGGAATCTTTTTGGCATCAGAGAGAGTTGGTAAGGGAAGAAGCTTGACTTTAATAGGATTTCAATTAATTTTTAGTCAAATTGGAAGTAAAAATGCCAAATATTATTCACTCGTTTCTTAACGCAACCAGACCTCACCTTCTGCATTCTGACTTCTTGCTTCTATTTATAACAAAAAGCAAAGTACAGTAGGCACACTGAACTACTAACTTGGTGGTGTTTCTGAAAAGTCAGGGCCATGGCTTATTATAGCTGATACTTATATGGTTGATACATTTAATGCTATTTTATATGCTCTTGTAACATAGCGATTTCAGCTACACCGGCTTATTCCTAGAGCAGAAATGTGACTTAACATGCAGGGTAAGGCCTCAGCGGTCTCCTGGATTCAAGTCATCAGTCACAGGGCCACTGTCCAGGGATGGCTCAGGGTTGCGCAGCCGTGGGACACACAGGAAGCAGGCAGCCTTCCCTGGAATGTCCTCGCACCCTTACACTGTGGCACTAGAAACGACTTTGGATGAAGGCGCCTAAAATTTAAGGAGTGCTTGTTTAGTTTCATCAGCCCTTGGAAAGAGATAATGAATGAAACAGGGGAGCAAATCAATCTGTTTAAGTTAGGCTTGTTTACCTTGACAAGAGGTCTTTAAAAATATATAGAATCCATCTAAAAAAAAGTCAAAATTAGAGAAACACAGAGTAGAGTTGTGGTTACCAGGACTGCAAGGTGGGAGAGATGAAGAGTTATTGGCCAAAGTGTACAAAATTCCAGTGATAAGATGGACAAGTTTGGGGATTTAATGTACAGGATGGTGATGCTAGCCAGTAATACTGTGCCATGTACGTAATGTTGCTAAGAGAGTAAATCTTAAACATTCTCACCACAAAGAAGGAATGCTAACTACGTGACAGGATGGGGATGGCAGCTCATGCTATGGTGGCCATCATCTTGCAACATCAGTGTATCAAACCAACGCTCTGTAGCCTTAAACGTACACAACATTATATGTCAATTATCTACCAATAAATCTTGAGGCCATCCCAGGCCTCATCCTGTGCAGCTGGGACTCAGGAATCTCTGTCTTTACTATGTTCCCAGGTAATTATGGTGCTCAGCCACGTTTGAGAACTGAGGGCTTGGGTTTTTAAGTACACTCGAAATCCTGCTTAGATTTGGAGTTTTAAATCTTTTTTTTTTCTCCTCCGTCTCTAGCCAAAGACAGAGCGGAAGAATCTTTCCTTTCCCAGATCTTCATGTAAATAGAATGAGAGATGCATGATTTTTCTCACCGCTTACCAAACACTTGCTTCGTTTGACTAAGAAGACACAAACCCAAGCCAGGTTAAGGGCTGCTTCCAGGTTACACAGCACAATAATAGAACTGCCCGGCTACAAAGCTGGCTGGTTTAGCTTCTGTGGTCAGTACCATTCCTTTTCCTCTTTTTCCCCAGCTTTACATCCATGCACGAGTAAGACAAATGGAGGTATCCAGGGCCTTGAAAAATCAGACACACATTAGGGTAAATGTAGATACTGATTTGTAAGCAACATTTTCCCTCAGAGGAACGCACAGTGGGAATGACTCAAGAGACAGATCAACCAGATACAATGTGGGGACCTTTGGATCCCAATTTGAACAAAATGTAAAATTAAATAAAAATTCCGAGATCAGAAAAATAACACCACCTGGATATTTCATTACTTTAAGAATGTTTAATTATTTAAAAGATGACAATTTTATTATGATCCTATTTTTTGAAGTCCTTGTATTTTAGAAATACATACTGAAATATTTATGAATGCAGTGAGGTCTGGGATGCTTCAAATCCAGTGACGAAGTGAGGGGGAAAGTGATGTGATGAAACAGATTGTTCCAGGACTTGACAATGATTGAATCCAAGTGATGGGTGCGTGAGGCTTATTACATCAATCTCTCTACCTATTCATATATTTATATATTCTCATTATGAAACATGCTTTAATTCATTTATCTCAAGGGCTGGCTTATAGTGTTGTGAGTTATTTGATTTACCTCCATAATAACAGGCTCATCAGTGAGGTCCACAACTTGATAAGACTGTTGACAGCTTTATCCCACTCCGGAGGAAAATGTCTCAGCCTTCTACCATAACCGTTGTGAAGCAGATGCTAAATACCAACCATTTAAAGCAGAAACTATGTTTCTCTAATAACAGGAATCTCTTTCAAAGTAGCGAAATACTTCTATAACCCATTACACTTTGAGGGATCTAAAACGGCTATAGATAGACTATTAAAATAATAAAAGCAGTTTAAGAAAGCATAAAAAAACTATGAAAGAGCAATCGCATGTTCCATAGGAGTTCTCATTGCTCAGGGTTTGCTTGGGAAATTGTTAATGCCTCACAGTAAAATGAGGATGCCCACCCGATCAGGCTAGAAGGTCAATTTCTAGTTAGGGTGTTAAATTTAGCACCAATTTCCAAATATGCCCAGGAAGCTGTAGGATGCAGATATTAAGGCTAAACAGGTCTACCTTTCTCCCTTATTCCTGCCCACCACCTCCTTTCCGAATCTACAAAGAGCTGTGAATCTTGAAGGGCATGATCCCAGCATTCATTGTGACTTCAGAGGTAGCTAGCTCCCAAGTTAAATGGAAGCTGTTTAGGGATTATTTTAAAACCTTAATGAATATGCTATTATTTCAATGAAATATGCACTGCCTTTAGTATTCCAATGAAATATGCCTTTTCAGCACACACACGCACACACACACACACACACACACACACACTCACCCCAAAACAAAACACTGGAAATAGCTTTGTCTTATGACCTAGAAGTAGCAATAGAGAATCTAAGAGCAAACAGAGATAGATCTCTGGAAAGATAATGTTTTGTGTGTTTATTTTTCTTCCAGAACTCCAAATAGTTACCTTGGCAGGCAATATGCTCTCTAGCTGCCCATCTCTGAAGACTGGAGGGTGTTTTTACAGAAATTGAAAGTCCCGGCAGTACATTTCCATGAGCTCATTATTAGTTCCAGTTACATCCTTCAGATTTCATGTGTACACGTGAAAATCCCCTGCGTTGAGCTTTTGTTGTAATTACCAACAAAGCAGCAGAAGTCAGAGGTGTGATTCCCAACATGTCAGTACGTCTTTTTAGAACCCGTGCTGTGGTCACTATTATGCAAAGCAACTCAAAGCCATTTCTTGCCGGCCCCTTTATGCTAATCAGCCCAGCCCACTGGGTCCTCCTCCTTCCAGCCTCCCTTAAGAACAGTTCACTCGCTGTCACGGAGAGTAACTCAGACCAGGCTTAGAAATCACTTGATTTAACTAAGCAGCACTTTTTCCCCCTTTGTTCTGTCCTCTCTAAATACATGGAGCATTAGATTTCATGTCAGCAGAAGGAATTTAAAAAAATGCCCAAACTGTAATCTGTTAGAAATAGTTACTATGTAGGATTTTACACTCTAAGGGGGAAAATTTCAATATGCTTTGAAATGAAAGAAAAAGTTTGTGTTTTTATCCAAATGCATTGGCATTTTTATATGTAGGAGCAGTTCTATTGGGGAATATTTATTTTAGGAATCATGACTAGGAAACACTTGGAAACTTATTAGAGAAGTAAATGTTTCACACACAAGGACAGGATCCGCACGCACCTCTGTGGTTCTGGGTGTCTTGTGAAGACCATTTTAGGTGACTGGCCAAAGGAAGGAAATGCCCTAGTGGTACTGCAGCCACAGAGATACTCCACTACCATGTCTGCTGTGCAAAGAGAAGGCAGCAGCCACCTGTTCAATGGTCTGCACAGCTGTAGACAGAAGCTTCCGGAGGACCAGCGACAGCAAGGTGAGTCAGTCAGGCTAATGAGTTGTGTTCAGTGACCTCCTGCCCCTTCATTCCTGAAAGAATGGTGGGCGGGCGAAGTACCTAGGGAACCTCTGGTTGTAAAATGCTTGGCAACCTTCTGTTTTTAAACTCTGAAAATTGTTATAATAGTGATGTGTAAGGGTAGGTTAACTTAGATCCACTATTGGTTTTTAAGGGACTATGGAAGACTATAAAAATGTCTATTTCATGGAGTTGTCATTTTGAAGCTTATGTGCTTAAATTTCCAGCCATTGTCATATTTCTCGATGCCAGATTTTGTGTAATTGAAAACACCCATCCATGCACAGCTGAATTGGCTGCAGGGGAATTTGCTGAAAGTAGCTGTAAGTGAGCCTGGCACTCTCTCCCCAGTCCCACCTCTAATGGGGCACTTTTGACTTAGAGTTTAAGCTTCAGTTTGTCGGGATCTCTGCCTTATTCATTTGTGTGCAAAAGAAATATATTCTTGGCTCTTTCCTTTTTATGGTCCAGGAACAGCTGGAGCCAGACCAGAAAAAGTGTCACGTTTCACAGGGTGGGCACTCATTCAGACCAAACCATCTACCTTGCAGCTACTTCCACCCCCGTCTTTTCACAGTTTCAAGTCCACTGTCCAGCCGGCCGGGTCAGTTCATGGCAGGTGGTTGACATGAACAGACAAGATGATCCCACCAATCCGTCCTGTCCGGGACAGCAAAGGACACTGGTAGAAAATGCTGGGTGCTGTCACAGATGACATCGTTGCCCCCCAGAGATTAAGAATTTACCCCAGACATTTATCACTTCTCCTCAATAACCTGTGATGGATTGGCTATGGATGAATCCAGGCTATGAGTTCTTTCTTTATTTTTTTATAGACACAGCTTGAGATTTCAGTGACATGGAAAGTGTTGGCTAAAGGACCAAAGCCTCCCCTTTCCAAGGCGACATCTGTGCCTAACACTTGTGTGACTGCATCAGGCCACCTCCCTGAATGTGGATTCTTTGCCATACAAGGCTTAGCACAGTGTGAGCAGAAAGTGCTTCATATTAAGTGAAAACAGAAAGTTTTTAAGACCATTCTGTGCCGTCAGGGCTCATGTACGTTAGTTTGGACTAACTGCTTCAGAACGTGAGGTCCTAGTATGTGCCAGGGTTCACTATAGCATGTAATGCATCCTTGCACCGTGTCATAGACAATCCTAATTCAGTGTAGGTCTTTTGGTTGCTGTTCATTTTGTTTGAAATGTTTGAAGCTACCTCCCCCAGTTGCTGATGTAATATTTGTTATATAAGACTTGCCGAGGGGCGCATAAAGGAGATGGTAAAAATCACCTGTAAAAATCACCACCCAAAGACAGTTGCTATTAACATTTGAATTTATAGTCTTCTAGCCCTTTCTCATATGCACATGTACAGGTTATTCTACTGTGTGATTTTTAAACAAAAACCTAGTGTTTTGTAAACTGCTTTTTAACTTAATAATAGATTGTGAACAAATTTCTATGTCATTATATTTTCTTCTACAATAGTATTTTTAACAGGCATATACGATTCCTTCACATGGATGTAGCAAAATCCTTTTAGGCAATTTCTTACTTCATTGATTTCCAATATTTTACTCTTACAAACAACACTGTGTTTCACATAAACTAATGGATAAAACATTGCAGACATAAAATTATTTTCTTGGGATACACCCATAGAGGTGAAATTGTGGGGTCAAAGAATATACATAGTTTTAATGCTTGTGGTGTGTGTGTGTGTGTGTGTGTGTGTGTGTGTGTGTGTGTTGGCCAAATGACCCTCCAATCAGCTGTGTAGGAATATATTCTCAGGAAACTAGGTATTATTTTAAAAGTTCTTCCTCGGTTTTACAAGTAGAAAATGGAATCCCAGTGTTGCTTTAATTTGAGGCAGGCTGTCTTGATGGTCTCTCTCACTGGCCATATTCAGAGCAGCCTGGAAATGTCATTATGAAGACATACTTCCCAAAATACCAACAAGACTAGAAGTCTGGTCTCCTTTCTCAGACTGTAGCTTTTGCCTAGAATGTTCTAAAAGCAGCCATATTCTTCTACAGCCGAGTCCCAAAATATCTGCCCACATAAACCACAATACATAAAGTTGTGAAGCATACTGATGCAATCCAGACTGAAAATTGACTGCTACAAGAAATGTCACCTAGAAATCTGAGGTAACAAGTGACCCTTGGCAGTGTTTGCTATGTTGCTAAATAGAATTCCAGTTACTGTTCCGGAGTTTAAAAGTATTCATTCAGTTCAGTGGCCCTGGTTTTTTCTCTAAGCTATATTTGTACCTTGAAATTATGCAAAGTTCAGAAAAGTCCAAGGAAACAAAGCCATTTGTTTCAGAGTGAGGTCTGGCTGTGGATTTATTCAATGAGGCATTCTGGGTTCATGGCTTTGGCCTCTCCCCAACCAGACCAAGGTTCCAGCTCTTTTATTTAGCATCCAGACCATGATTAATTGACATTTAACTCTTCCCAGGGCATGACCAGATTCAACGCATACATCTTTCCAAACCTCCATGCGTTATGATAAAGTGTTTTATATTAACTCTGTGGCATTTAATTCTTTCTACCTAGTAACTCACAAAAATGTAGTTTTTGGGTGATTATATAGATAAAAGTCACTTATTCTTCAGCAATTATTGGGACAACGACTGTGCAAAGCACTGGGTCAGATGCTGGGTGTGTAAGTTGAACTAGGCCACCTAAGCTGTGGTTTCTAGTCCACGTGGAGTTACACTCTATGGCGACAGATGCAATATCCGTTCAGAACAGAAGTCCAGCGGGTTCCTCTCCCTACTTGATGCCTTGTAGCTTCTTCTGTGATATTTAAAATCCGTTTATCTACAACATTGATCTGAAATTCATCTATAAACATGACTTCATACATCTATAAAGCCTCAACAAAGTTCAGTACACATTATATATGTTAGGAAAGGTCGAGGAGGGTCCTGAGTGCAGGAACTTCTGTCCCCGTGCAGTCAGGGCCCACCACTCCCCCAGTACTTCAGTTAAGTTCACCAGCGAGGAAGCACCACTAAACTGAATGTCCAGAGTTTCTATAGGGGATTTCATTATTTAGGCCTGGTTCTGGCCTTGACTGAATCAATCTCCGGTTTTTCTCTCCTCCCTGGAAGTTGGGGTTGGGGATTAGGGCTGGAAGTTCCTACTTGCTTGGTCTTTCTGGTGTGTCTAGCTCCTCTCTGAAAACTATTTAAGGGCCCACCATGAGTCGCTCATTAGCATAGCAAAGGCACAAAACTATCATTTAGGAAATTCAAAAGGTCTTTGAAATTCTGTGCAAAGAATGGGGGACAAAGACCAGATATATTCTTTACTATATCACACTTGGGCCATAATTTTCTGGATATGTTCTGTTTTTAATATCAAGCCAGTTTTCTGCAAATAAAAAACAAAAAAAACCCAAAATCTTGCTAGTCAAGAAACACAGATTAATGCCCTCAACCATTTATTTATTCAATGCATTTTTACTGAATATTAAGCAAGTAGTAGAAGCTATATTAGACACTGGAAATGCAAAGAGGATTTTTCTGCCAAGGTTTTCTGAGGAATTCAGTAATAACAACTAAGCTAATGATACTTTTTCAACTTTTTGGGTGAAGGAAAAAGTGATTTCATTTCATAATGTTCTGACTTCGCTGCATTCATCTGATGATCTTTGCATTTAGCCACACTCCTCTAGTGGGTTTTGAAGGGCACTGACTCTAACTGAGAACTTAACAAATATAAATGTAAAAGCTAAGCAGTAACTATTCACTGTGCTATCAAATTTGCCCTGAATCTAAACCACAGAAATTAAATTACATTTAGATTGTTGCAAATGCACTATTTGCCTTAAACATAATCAGTGCACATTTATGAATGTACTTAATTTAGAACTCCTAAAGAATATAATTGTTGGGGAATGAGAAAGTTATATGACTAAGTAATGCCTTTTATATGAAAAATATACGTATTATACTTCTTAGCATAGATTTGTATTGGCTCTTTTCTGTGTGATTCTAAAACAGTGATACTGCGTAGACAACGTGACATCTTTCAGGTGAAAAGAGGCTCAAATAACCTTTGTTCTATCTGCAAAGCCATTACTTTTAATGGCACAAATCGGTAGAAACTAGACTATTTAACAATAATTTAAAAAACATATATTCTAATAGACCTTATCATGTTCAAGCTCCCACCCATTATAGAAATTTTTTTTTGCATAATAAGCCTCCCTAGTAAAAGGCACATATGTGAAAATTTGGAAAATATATGTAATGGCTTATACTTTATTTTCCCACCTCACACTCATTAAAATGGCTACTATCAAAGAAAAAGAAGAAGAAGAAGGAAAGAAAATAACAAATGTTATAAAAAATGAGGAGAAATTAGAACTCTTAGGCATTGTTGATTGGGAATGTAAAATGGTGCATCTGCTGTGGAAAATAGTATAGCAGTTCCTAAAAAACTAAAAATTGAATTGCCGTGTGGTCCAGCGATTCTACTAGGTATGTGACCAGAAGGAGTGAAAGCAGGGACTCGATTGTGTCCAGTGCTCATAGCAGCACTATTCTTAATAGCCAAAAGCTGGAAAATACCCATATGCCCACTGACAAATGAATGGACAAGATGTGGAATGTGCATACAATGGAAAATTATTCAGCCTTGAAAAGAAAGGAAATTCTGACATGCTACAACATGCATGAACCACAAGGACATTATGTTAATTAAAATGAATCAGTCAAACAAAGATAAATGCTGTATGGTTTTACTAGTATGAAGTATGTAGAGTAGTCATCCATAGAAACAGAAAGCAGAATAGAGTTATTATGTAATGACATAGAGTTTATTTTGCAAGCTGAGAAGAGTTCTGAAGATTGAGTGGACAACAGTGTGAATCTACTTCATGCTTACACTGTACACTTAAAAATAGTTAAGATGGGCCCAGCCGGTGTGGCTCAGCGGT